GTGGTGAGAGAGAGACACGTGGTGAGAGAGACACGTGGTGAGAGACACGTGGTGAGAGAGACACGTGGTGAGAGAGACACGTGGTGAGAGACACGTGGTGAGAGAGACACGTGGTGAGAGAGACACGTGGTGAGAGAGACACGTGGTGAGAGAGACACGTGGTGAGAGAGACACGTGGTGAGAGACACGTGGTGAGAGAGAGCACGTGGTGAGAGAGGACACGTGGTGAGAGAGACACGTGGGAGAGAGACACGTGGTGAGAGGAACACGTGGTGAGAGAGACACGTGGTGAGAGAGACACGTGGTGAGAGAGGACACGTGGTGAGAGAGACACGTGGTGAGAGAGACACGTGGTGAGAGACACGTGGTGAGAGACACGTGGTGAGAGAGACACGTGGTGAGAGAGACACGTGGTGAGAGAGACACGTGGTGAGAGAGACACGTGGTGAGAGACACGTGGTGAGAGAGACACGTGGTGAGAGGACACGTGGTGAGAGACACGTGGAGAGAGAGACACGTGGTGAGAGAGACACGTGGTGAGAGACACGTGGTGAGAGACACGTGGTGAGAGAGAGAGACACGTGGTGAGAGAGAGACACGTGGTGAGAGACACGTGGTGAGAGAGACACGTGGTGAGAGAACGTGGTGAGAGAAGAGAGTGGTGAGAGACACGTGGTGAGAGAGACACGTGGAGAGAGACACGTGGTGAGAGACACGTGGTGAGAGACACGTGGTGAGAGACACGTGGTGAGAGAGAGACACGTGGTGAGAGAGACACGTGGAGAGAGACACACGTGGTGAGAGAGACACGTGGAGAGAGAGACACGTGGTGAGAGAGAGACACGTGGTGAGAGACACGTGGGGAGAGAGACGTGGAGAGAGAGACACGTGGTGAGAGACACGTGGTGAGAGACACGTGGTGAGAGACACGTGGTGAGAGAGACGGTGGTGAGAGAGACACGTGGAGAGAGACACGTCCACTCAGAGACACGTGGTGAGAGAGACACGTGGAGAGAGACACGTGGAGAGAGACACGTGGTGAGAGAGACACGTGGTGAGAGAGCACGTGGTGAGAGGTACACGTGGGTAGAGAGACACGTGTGGTGAGAGACACGTGGTGAGAGACACGTGGTGAGAGAGGACACGTGTGAGAGAGGACACTTGTGAGAGAGACACGTGGTGAGAGAGACACGTGGTGAGAGAGAGACACGTGGTGAGAGACACTGTGAGAGAGGACACGTGGTGAGAGACACGTGGTGAGGAGACACGTGGTGAGAGAGGACACGTGGTGAGAGACACGTGGTGAGAGAGACACGTGGTGAGAGGACACGTGGTGAGAGAGACGTGGTGAGAGAGAGGAGAACGTGGTGAGAGAGACACGTGGTGAGAGACACGTGGTGAGAGAGACACGTGGTGAGAGAGAGACACGTGGTGAGAGACACGTGGAGAGAGAGACACGTCGGCTGAG